TTTCATTTTAAAATGAATGGGGTGCCTGTACTCAGGGTAGCTATGGCAAAGTATATTCAAGTAATGGAGTAATTTAACCCGTTACATCATCATGAAAGAGCTTTCATAGTTGAGATGAGAAACCTTGTACTTCATAAAGTCTGGAACAGTGCAGGCAACACTTAATTATTTAAAGTCACCCTTCTACATTAATCTAAATATGAGTAGATTATTGTGCTTTCTGCAGAAAAAGCACCTCTGTCCTCTAAAGCACTTTGCAGAAATACTGAGTCAAGATAACCTTCTTGCCCAGAGTCCCACAAGGCATCAGCACCAGAGATGGGAATAAAGTCCAGGATCCCAACCTGTAACCTCTCCTGCACTGACTGGGGATCATGCTTCCTCCCAGGGAGTCCTAACACATTATTCCACCACTATAAAATCACACTGAACTAAGAAAATAGGTAAGGAATAAAAATAAATCATGGAAATTAAAATCATGGGAATGAAAAAAATTGAACAAAGGTGGTTTTATAATCCTCAGAACAAGAAGAAACTTGGTAGTTTGATGTCAGCTGACTGACGGACTCCTATGCTACTACTGCAAAATTAACAGGGCTTAAATATATAATCAAGTTTAATAAGTTACTATGTATCAGCACAAGCATGGTAAGCTATTTCATAAGCCCACTAAGCCCACAACAAATGCAATACAACTTGGCTTTGCATGTTTTCCTTTCCTCTGGGACTAAACTGTTACACTTTTAGTGCAGAAAGAGACAAGCTGGTTTTGAGACTCTGTAGCACACTAATTTGCTAAGTTGTGGTAGCTTGACTTTATGTCAAACTCCCTAACTCTACTAAGAACGTAAGGCTAATGGGATAAAGGAAGTGAAAAAGCGTTTCCTTGCCAAATGGTTTTTTAACAGGCTTGAAAATGATAGTGACAACCATATAAAAAGCTTTTCCACCGTTTGACCAGACCATCATAATTTCCAGCCTTCTATCGTCTGGTACTTCTCCACCTCTTCTTGTCTCCACTTGTAATTACCACTCCTAATTGCACCTGCCTTTTTAGTTCACTTGGCAACAGCTGTATAAAAACATCAGCAGTGATGATTAGTAGATATAAGACCATTAATATAACTATGCTTTAGGCAGATATTCAGGGGATGGAATCCAAAATGACAGAAGTCTTCCTAGCCACAGAACTCCTGAAGTATCGGGCTTGTAAACAAACAACCGTTGTGCTTTAGGAGACTTGTCCTCTGGAGGTGGGACAGCAATGGCTTTCTGTAACACTTCAGCTGAGAACTTTGGTTGGTGAGACAGTTTGTAGCCAGGGCTCCTGACCAGAATACCTTTTATAGTTATAATGCAAATGGGACATACCATACCCTTCATTCTGGTCACTCTGAACTTCAGCAGAGATACAGGCATATAGCTAAACTCTGTCTATTTTGATGCTTTTGAAGCTCAAATCAGATTTTTAACCAACTTTGCTATCACTAGGACAAGGATGTGCCTAGAGGCTTTGCCGAATTGGGGCTTTTGGCTTATCATCAAATTAAGGGAAAACACGCTGTAACACACTCACCTGACTCAGTCACAGCTGTAGTGTACGATAGTGATCTCCACATTTATTAAACACATGCTCCCTCTGGAGCTGGAGATGATACAGTAACAGCTGTTTTATTCTGGTTTCTTTTTAAGTCATGAGGAGACAAACACAAACGTGTCTCTGGTATAATTCACAGTGTTCACACCTACTAATGCAATTAAGATGTACTACGATAAACAACTGTTAAGTTCTCCTTATCTTTTACAATCCATTCACCCTCCCATTCTCTCTCCCCACTGTTGCTATCATTATTGTAAGTAAACTAGTACTGAAATCTGACTCAGCAAAGGGAAATTAAGCTTTATGCAAAAAATAAATGAGGTAGGTTCTCCTGGATATAGTATCCTCCCAAAAGATACTGAGACTAAATATAAGACATTAGTAGGCCTGTAATGAAGACAGTGAAACAAAGCAAATACTGGGAAACCAGGGTTTGCCCTGACTTTAATGTCAGCCTGGCCTTCCATTGGTATAAATTCATATTTCTCTGTGGATCATTAATCTTTTTTGTCCGCAGGAAATAATAAGAACACTTCTAGATAGCAAGCAAACATGTAATTTGGGACACAAGAATGATATTAAAAGCTCCTACCATGAACTCCAGCATGGCTTTTAACCACAGCTTATGGGTAGGAGCACAGTGGTACAATACACACCCTGAAACACTGGGGCAGGCACAGCGCATCTCTGGAAGCTGAGGAAGTTCACACAGCAGCTGACAATTTTAAGGCAGGTGCCTCATACCAGAAGACATCTTGCCTTCGGCTGCTTAGTGCAAAAAGGGACATATTCCTTCCTCTGCTCCACCCCCAAGAGAATATCAAATGCCCTTTTTCAATTCTGAAGCTACCACATCACTTGAACGAGCTGATGAGCTTAAAGCACATGATTAGCACCAGCCTTGCTGATGGCTGAGGCAGGAGAACTGGGCCTGCAGACAGGGCATTGCTTAGGCTTGGTACTGCTCCCTCCATGCTGAACTCATCCCAACTCCAAGTACATCCTAAGCACCTTGCAGAATGCTTCTCCCCTTTTCCCAAGGCATTTGAAAACAGGAGGGAAAAGGTGGCAGTAAACTGCATGAAGAACCTTGTGGCTGATTGTTTTAGACTAGCTGAGTCCTTGAAGAGACTTTAGGTAATGTCAAGGACACTGAGATTGTGTGACTGCACATGCGTTTTTCAGAGACAGAGAAGTAATCCCACTGCAATTAATGGATCTTATTATGCTCAAAGTCAACAAGCTTGCTAAAGGGCTTTGGCAAGTCAGCACCTTTGTGTTTGGATTGCAACGCTGGCTATGTGGTGTGCCTTTGTCCACTTCAGCCTTGTTTACCAACAGAGATATACACACAATCTAGCCATAGGCACAATTCTGGCTAAATATGTTGATGTGTATTTTTGCGTTCCAGCAGTTTCTGTAGCGGCACTTACAAGTGAGACAGATGAAAGTGAGTAAACACAGATATTAAAAAAAACATTTACTTTCTCACCATGCATGTTTACTATTTGCAGTTCAGTCAACTGACAACGGAAAGAGATCATTTAATCTCATTTCCTTCCTCCAGCATACCCACCTGATGTATTTCTGTGGGGAACCATGGCACTACAGTGTAATATTTGCTGTTATTGTAAATTGGTACTTTATTTTTGAAAAGCTACAAACTGTTTGCTCATAAAGCACTTTGCAATGACCATCAGTCTATTTGGTTGGTCTTTTCAGATCTAAAATAATTTGAAGATGTTGCTTCAAATTAAATGTCCACATCTTATATGACATTTTCTTTGTAAACAAGTTAACACAAATATATTATTCCCATGCATATTTATTATGTGCATACAGCAGCCAACCTTTAAATCCACCGCCCCAGTCCTTCCAGCAAACTAGGAATCTTCTTTGCCATAAAAACTTACCCTTTTCCCTCAATAAATCTATTCTTTAGAAGAAACTTTTGCCTTTAGAGTCTCATTTTTCATTTATTTCATTAGTTTCCATCTCAGATAACTAAATTCTCTTTTATTGCAGCTGGGAATTTTTATAATGTGCAAATTGAAATAATGATTGTATCGCAGTACTCGGCAAGTGGTTTTCATTAAGCCTCAAGCTACTATTCTTTGCTCTGTTGGATATCTTTGTGTCAGGGTTACTTTACACTGGACAGAAATTTGAACAATTTATGTTGAAAAGAATGACTAAAAACCTATTAGGTAACAACCTTTAAAATGCATTGGTTAATGGAGCTTAATTCTATGTTCTTGTCATAATCAAAATACCTCAATTGCTTAAAATTTAATAATCATGCTGAAAAGTGGATCTGTGAATATATTCCAGAGATTTGCATTTCTGAAAATGAAAATTACTATTTGTCTTTACAATTCTGTGTAAGCAGACACACAGTGCCAGAAACACACTTACATTTCTGAGATGGTACAGTGCAACATTTTGCTTTCCTGTCAACAGAGTGACTAAATTTGTATTCTGTGTCCAGCTAGCATTTTCTGGTTAATTTTGCTGACTTAAAATAGTTCAGAACCATTTGTGTGGCTTGTTGAAATTTACAGCATGCTTACACTCTTGATCACCAGACTCATCTGGTCAATTTTTGTCATTTGGTATTGCCTATTGGTAAATGAGTTTGCTAGCATATATTCCCACTGCTGCCAGGGTCACCAGAAGTCTGAATGAACACAGAAATAGTCCACTTAATTGCAAAGATTTATAGCTATGCTGTTTTCTTTTCTCTCTTTCCTCTCAAACTTGTCTTCCATGTCTGACATGTACAGAAAAGGGAGAGCTGCTTATTCTAGTCAAAAGCAGCAGCAGACAAGGATCACAGTGTTGCAGGGATTCCTTATTTCTACTGCTAGTGCATAGGCAACAGAGAAGCAGTCTCCTAATCCACTCTAGACAGGGTACTGAACCAAAGAAAATGCTGTGTCAATATAATATCAGCCATCATCATTCTGCAATGAAGCAATGAGTTACACGACTGGCAAAAAAAACATAACCTATATAACTTCCAGAAGCAACAAGCTGTTTCATTTTGATTTAAGATACCATGCTCTCAAAGGTGGAAGAAAGTTGAACTATTATACAATAAACAGATGAGAAATTTTTAAGTCTTGGAAACTCAGAAGCAGAAAGTTGCCATTTGAAAATCTGCCTCTGCCTGCCCAAAGAGCCTGCTGTTTGAACCGAGTATAATTTCTATGTCAAACTAAAGTCTTTTCCCCTGTCCTATTTATAGTTTTGTTACAAGTTTGGGTAGCAGAGGAGTCAGTCAGTTCCAACCAACCAGTAACATGATTTTGGGAGCTCTGGGGATAAAAAAAATCCCCCTAAACAGTTTCTGCATTTCTGATTGAACACAGTTATTCTAAAGAGCACACTGAAAACTTACCAATGGAGCGATGAATACAGGTATGCTGGTTATCACTCAGAAAAAAGCCCTCTTTGCACTGACATTCATAGCTTCCCATAGTATTTACACAAATCTGCTGGCACCCTCCATTGTTATCCTGACACTCATCAACATCTAGAAGAGAGAAGGAAAAAGAAATGTAAGATAATGCACAGATTCAGAATATACATCTATAAGAGCAAGGAATCCATGAAAAAGCACACTGTAAATTAAGCTAATGAAAACTACCCGAACCCCATCAGTTAATCCAAATTAATCCACCTAATTCTTTTTCCTGCATACTAGGTTTAAAGGTAACATAAAAAAACACTGGGGAGGGGAGTCCAGCTAAGTCTCCAAGTATTCTGAGCTGCAAATTGATTTCCAATGAACAATGAATGTTAACATCCTAAAAAGGCTGTGACCCCATCTGCCAAGTGTGGTGTTGCACTCTGTCATTCCCACTCCACTTGGAAAGACATACTTCAGGCCTACAGTAATTTCTAGTAGGGGTAGCAGGCAAACACAAAGGGCATTACTGGGTGAAAAGAGTCTTTATAGAGTTCTGGTCTTGAACAGAACAGCATGTTTCAATTACTGGAGTCATAACCCCCTACTTTGTCAGTTTGTTTAATGTTGTTTAATGAAAAGAAGGCTTCTTAAATCTAAATGTTCCATGTCTGTATTGTCATTTTAATAGGCAAATATATAAAACCACAAAGGCAGCATTAGCTACTGGCTGTTTTGAGGGTCCCTGCCTACCCCCCATCACCTCTTTTTGGCATAGAAGTTTTTATGCTGTTGTGTTTAACAGACACATATGTTTCAGCATTGGGGAACCACTGCCACTAAAAGATATCTGACCCACATTCAACCTTTTAACTCTCCTGGTTTGCCTCATAAAAGGTATATCATATCCATTTGCTCTTTTTTTTTTTTTTTTTTTGATAAAAGCGACTTGCCACCTGAAAATTCTATGCTTTCCGTTTTTATGGAGACTCTGCAACCAGTTAGCTATTTCACTGTGTGTGCCAACATGTCAGCAAATGGGTTGGTGTGTGTTTTGCTTTCATTTTATTTTTGGAGAGGGGAAAAAACACAACAAAGCTAAATGATTCACAACATTCAAAAACTCAGAAGAGCTGGCACAGCTACTGCAGAAATTAATTCCTCCAGGACTAGCCACAATACACTAAGGTAAAACCAAGCTGCTTTTGTCAGTACTCTTGCAGGCAAGGCCAGGATGCTCTGAAATGCTGGAGAAACTCACCCAGTAACTAATGCAGCAAACAACTGTTGGCTAGCTCCGGCAGCTTGCTCAGCTAAGCCTACTATTGCTGTTTGTGCTGGTGTGCTGCCTGTGCTTCACTCAACAGCTCTTTCTCACAGAGCAAAAAACCTCTAGGGTAATTGCAGCAGTACCCAGGGAAACTAGGCAGGCTCCTCCTGACTTGAACTACAATGCAAGTGCGTAGACAGTCCTTCTCCCTCTTTTTATTTACCAGGAAATGTTAAGCACTATTGCCTCAAATTTTCTGTATCAAAATCCTACCTGCCCTCAATTTTTGCTCTCTTCCTGATTTGAACTTTTTCATAACTCATCAGAGCAGTTTTGCAGGCCAAGGAAAAGGAGAAATGAAGACTTTCCTTGCCTACTGCAGTATAAGAAGGAAAGATAAATCAGACAACTTTCTGAGACCCTTCCTCTGTGAGTCAGCAGGCCTTGCTTGCCCTATAAGCACCAACTCAAACGTATTCCTTCAAAACAGCACACTGGAATCTAGATCCTCCTCTCTGGAAGATTAGTTGAACACTTACTGAAGGCAAAAGTCTCAGTTGGTACATGTACAAACCCCCAAATTTTGCTACAAAGTACACAGCCCTCCCAGCGCTCTGTTTATCATATCACAAAGCAGCTTGAACTTGGAATTGCCTTCCAGCTCTGATGAATAATCTGAAACAAATGCAATGATTTATAAACATTTTTTTCTGCTCTTGATAGTAAATGCTGATGATTTACCACTTCCGTGAAAAGACAGCTCAATTTACCACCAAGTCCCAAATCCATATGCTGGAATAAAAGTTATTACAATTTAAACTCTTTAAAAAGTTTTACTGTGAGGAATTTCTTCCAATTGTTTTCAATTACTTGCCTCAGAATTTTTTTAATATGTACTTATGAAGAGAAGGAGTTGAAGAAAGGGAGCAGCTGGGATCTAGGACTACTATATCTCTATCTCCATACCACAAGCCTTCCAATAAATCTTGATCTGGTGGTGTAGGATTAACATTTTCTCTTCTCGGGCCTCAGTCCTACTAGGGTCAGGCTTTTTGGAGCACTCTGTCCTACTGCAGTCTTAAAAGTCAGTACTGCCTATTATCCACCACACCAAGCAATCTATTGGACATGGCTGCCCAGAAAATATTTACCGAATTATTTAGTTGGTAAACTCTCTTTCCAATAAAGTCACTTTATGATCAGCCTATTACTAACCCAGTTTAGAGAATGGGGTAAAAAAGGTTTTCTGAAGCTGGGAGAGAGAACTCCATCAACTCCAAGGAGCTCAAGCTTTGGTAGATCTGAAAAAATAATTCCTTTACGTATATGAAAGCTTACAAAGCTTACAAATGAAATAGCTGCCAAAGGGGCTTTTTCTTTTTTTCATTGTTCGTGCAACTCTTGTTCAGAGCAGCTCAAGTTACCCAGCTGAATGTGTAAACATCGGTAATGCAGCATATGTGAGATTGCATTTTGGACGAGATTTTCTAGAGATAAAAATCCACGTAAACACCAAAATAAGTAGCCAGGTTTTCAATAAAGCTCTTCTGGCTCCAGTTTTGGAGGCTCTACATGTCAAACTGGGCTGTTGACTGTTTTGAAAAACTGAGGGTGGATCCTCAGGAGCTTTAATTGTTGCCAGTCTGTGACAGTTTACACCTGCTGGAGACCTGCACCCCAGGGCCTAACTCTAGATATAAAAAAAAAGCCACTTACGATGTAAAATCCCTAAACTCAAACATCTAACTCTAAGCCCCCCAAAATTTATTAAGCATAAATACAAAGCTCACTTTCTTTATTACTCTACTCTTTATAAAAAAGAAATATTTTTTTTAAAAGCAAAAAGACATGTTGTCTTTGGCAACCGTTTGCACAAGATCAGCTACCACTGGTCATCTTATCCGGGACCAGGTTTGTCTCCCGGAGGATGGCAGCCCCAAGGCAGCAGGTGCAGGTCTCCCTTCCTTTAAACTGGTGCGTGGAAACTCAAATCCTTTTCTAAGGCTCCTTATCTGGCAAAAGTTTTTTCACCCTGCTTAGCCTCACCACCTGACAGTATGCTGATTCCTACAGTACATTATCCAGTGCTTACGGGAGAGCTGAGCCTCAAAATCCTTGATGATGATCCCAGGGTGTGGAAGCTGGAGCAAGGTTTCAGTAAACCTATGCAACCCAAGCTCACAAAAAGATGGAAAAAGGTTCTCACCTGAGCTGAGCTCAGATGGTTATTCCACATGGCTCCTCAAACCCTCATCCTCAAAAAGAGGAAAAACTAGTAGAAAGTGAATATATGTCCTAAAGCCATTCTCTGTAATACTCATCACAAAGAACTGTCCTGTGATTACATCTACCAAAGACAATCCCTGATCGAAGCACCTACAATAACTCAGTTTCCACAGCCCTTAACTACTCCTTACTCACGCAAATAAATAGCTAAGATGACAAGCAGCACAAGAGCTACTTATACAGAGTTTAGACCAGAATGACAAACCTATGATTCCAGGGAGGAATGATAAGGGCCCTATGATAAGGGCCTGGATTTCAAATTGGCCAGTCATCATCAAGGACAACAAGGAATAGGGAAGAGCCAGCTCAGGGAGAGGCTGGGAAAGGAGAAGTGTCTTTCAAAAGAGGAGGAGAGTTAATGGCTGCATATATACACACATACATACATAGATCTATCTATATATCAGAAGCATTATGCAAATTGATGCATATCTGAATTTGCATAAGGCCTCTAGCTTTTTGGCCCACCGCCTTCACATAATCAAACTTGTGTTCTGTACCTTGGTAAGATGAGGTCCTCTAGAGAGTGGTAGTGTGGAACAATATCAAAGGGTAGGAAACAGTACAGTTGATAAAGATGGATGTTTTGTTTATTAAATAAACAAATGCTTTTGGTTTCTCAGTTAATTTATCTGACAAACTTTTCAGACTAGCTCCACTGGTATTTTACCCTGATCTGGCTTAGAGCTTCCTGCAGTATTTGGCGTAAACAACCTATTCTGATCGAGTGTCCTGTTTGGATACCATCGAGGGAGAAAGGTCTGCTAAGGGTACCTGAAACCAAACCCACAAGCAGGAAGATACAAAAGTGGAAACACTATACAAAGTCAATGTCAAGAGCAGTATGTCCACTGTCCACTTCCTCCCATGAACTTCTCTTCCTTCCTTCTGACATTTTTCTTTCATGTCAGCATTTTCATAAGCACTTAAGCCCCTCAGAAATCTGAGTCTCATCTTCAAAGTCTCCAAAGCATTTGGGAGCCACAGTACAATTCACTTACTATAGCATTAAATTCTTTGGAGACTTCTAAAAATAGGACTTTGACTCATGATCCAGGGAGTTGATCCTGCTAGCTCTTCTGTAAGCTACTGTTTGAAACTTTTGGAAGATTTCTCTAAGATGCAGTGCAGAACACTGTGATAGAGAGATGAACTACTGATAAATACTGCAGACTTTCCTCAAATGTTAGCAACAAAACACCACTGAGGTTATCTTGTATTTGTAAGAGAATTATTAGCAACCCTGAACTCAGAAAATAAGTGCCTTTAAAAATCATTATATTCTGAATATTTCCAGTCAGAAAGCTGGCTGAAAGTGTCATTAAGGAAAAAACAAAACAAAACAAAACACATTCCTAGATTTACTATAGTCATAGTTCGTCTTACACCAAAGGAACTTGTAGCCCAGCACCCTCTCTTTGACACTGCCCTGTAGCTGATTCTCAGGAGAAGACTGTAGAGATGGGACAGAACCATTGCTGGCAGGATCTCCCAGCTTTCAGCAATCACATACCTATTAACCTTCCTAAATCACTTGTTAGATCATTGTCACTGCTGGATCTTTCCTGTA